TATAATACTTACTTGTTAGTCGTGAACATTAAGAAAACAACATATTTTTATCTTTACTGTTGAAATCGTTTTTATTAATTTATTTAAATATTACAGACCAAATATTCAACATACAGAAAAAATGTCTGTACAAAAATTGTGAAGAATTTAATTGTTTATTATTTGTGTTGTGTATATGATTTCTTTTACCAAACGTAGTTGTTATAATCGAGTATTAGTTTGCAAAAAAAGTCTTTTTCCCTTCAACTTAGTATAAAAGTGTTAATATCTTTAAAATTTGGTTCAAAATTTGTTATCGACCGGACATTTTTTTATTTAGATCATCCTCTATAAAAAAATAGATTTTCAGAAATATTAATAGTTAGTAGAGTGGAACGAAACAGAAAATTTATTTTGCTAATTCTAATATTACTAGAATGTTGTGGTCCATACTCAAATATGTATATAAAAAAATCACTACTTCAAAATTACTACAAAGTTTTATGAAATTTACGATAAAACGTAACTTTAGAGTTGTAAATATATTTTTTGTTTATTGTATTGTATTAAATTTGTATATAAGTAAAAATATTAACATAATTTAATTGGAAATATTTTTGGAATTAAAATGAGACATTATCCTATGGGACTCAATCTTAGCTCTTATTACACCATCCCTTCTAGCTTGTCCGCATACGGCTGCAAATTTTTCTGTTAAAAATTAACGGTGAGATTTCAATAGAGAGAATCGATTGATCATTTTTATATTAATGTTTTAAATAATTTTTTTTAGTTTTAATTTAATATTTTCAATATAGCGTTAATTGTTACAAACATAAAAAAAATCAAGAATTATTATAACAAGCGAAATCTGGTACACAATGTATTGTAACAAAAATATTAAATTAAAATAACATATTAAAAAACAAATGAAGTCAATTTATTACATTTCAGTGATATTTAGAAAAAAAATTATTAAAGCCGTATCAAGTTTTATGAGAAGATACTGTAGAAGTAGGACAGGAACAAGAAAAATATTGGGGAACATTGATTGGAACGAGACTTAAAAGTTCAAGATGTGAGATGTAGCCATTTAATAAATAGTACACAAAATAAACAATATAATAACGACGTCACCTAGTAAAGGGTTTTAAGTTAAAACTATAATTTTGTGAGTTAGGATCAACGTTACTGTTGTAAATAGATTAAATTTTTAAAAGATAACGTTCTACCCACAGTAACTGTTCAATCAAATCAACTTGTGAAAGATTCAAAATGATGCTACTATATTCTAAAATAGGTGTCCCCAACAAGTAATATAAAGTTTTAATTCAATATGTTATTAACTTCTATGTAATACGTAAAATACAAGCCAGAGCTCTTAATACTTTTGATCTAATGTGTATAATGTGAAAAGAATATTGTATGTTTGATTCCATAATTATTAGATAACTCATCATTAGATGATTACTCAACTAGAGAGGTATCCCCTGCTTTCTTGATTGATTAATTGATAAAAATATGTATATAAAATAAACCAAAAAAAAAAAAAATGATAAATATTATTTGTATTCCATCGAAAAATCTGCTGGTGTATTATATTCTGATGACTATATAATGACAGGATGAAATAGCCTCTACATGAAAATTCTTAGAATTTACTGGACCATTATTAATTATTAATCTGTCAAAATATTTTAATGATATGAATTTATAAAATTAAAATTATATATTAGTTCGCTTAATAACAATAGTTATGATTATTTTAATCTGACGATATAAGGGAAAATGTATTTTATGTTTTTTATAAACAAAATTCTGTTGTTTATTATATTATAATTTATGTGATATAACGCAATTTTTTGAAGGTGATATTTTATACTTGGTAAAATTAATAATATTAATATTCCGTTGCATAAAGACTATTTAAATTTTAATTATTACAAAGTGAATATTTCTTGATATTTAAGATAACTTCACTTTATTTTACAAAAATAATTTCTCTTAATTTCTCATTAAAAGTTTTGGGACAAAATTTTAAAGGTCTTCTTCGTTAGAGAAAAAGAAACAATATGTGTAAATTGCAAACATGAAATAAATCAATCACATCCAGAAAAAATATCTATAAATCTACTATGTGATCATGTCTGGTACTATGAAAAATGCATAGAACAACAAAAAAAAATAAGTAGTTGATAAAATGATTAGTTGTATGATGTAATGATTATAATATGACTTCACTTTTTAGATTTTTATAAAAGAATATTTATTTTACAAACATAATTGTCTAAATTTTAGAGGGTCTGTGCCAGATATTTAAATAATAATTTATCGAGAACATTATGATATGCTTGAAAATTGTCACATTTTTATGCGTATTTGAAATAGATAAATAAAGTTAGTAAACTAATATTTCAAATTATTAACAAAACTGCATAAAAAAATAAAATAATTGCCGTAAAACACTATTTTTAGCAAAGTCCAATAGAACTAATTACGTAAATGCATAAATACATTAATAAATTTAACGTGTCATTTAAATATATTTTTAAAATACTTTTTGAGACTACCAACTGTAAAATACTAGTAAAACATGGACGTATCAATCGGTTCAAGCAATAAAATGTTTTACTTAAAATTTTTAATGTTTATGTTATTTTTTTGTTCTGTTAAAATTTTATTTGCCGTTGATCAAAAAAAAATCAGTCGGAATGATTTGATTCGCCTTGTAAAAACCTACCCAAAAGTCATGGGACTTATTCTCAAAAGTCATCAATTTTACGCGAACGAGGATTTAGGTTATAAAGCAATTTGTCCAATATGTTGGTGTTCTAGTTATCCATATAATATACAATATGGCAGTGTAAAAGTATCCAATAAAAAGTTGATCGATGT